TATACGATTTACTAGTTACGCGGTTTAGAAACTCTTTTGAAGTAATTTAAATTTGGAATACCATAGGTACAATAGTTTTTAAAAGACGAAATCATCGACAGACACGTTTATTTCTAGTTTTCTTAAAAAACAAGCTTACGAGCTACTTAATGAAAACCTTTTATCAATCTTTCCATTGCGACTTTAATCATCAGCAAAAAATACCATTACTTTATTAATGTTATGTTATTTCACTATATAATACCCTTTATTGGATAGAAATATAACCTCCGTTGGATTGCATTAAGTTCGAGCTGTTTTCTGTACCATAACACTTTCTTAATATCACATGACGGTTTAATCTGGATTGCAACGCATCTCGATATATTTATTTATTTATAACTTTATGCACATTTGTACATCGGCGGACTTAATGCCCAAGGCATTCTCTCCCAGTCAACCTTTAGGTAGTGTAGAAATCGTGAGTGGCAGGCGCATATAGGTTATAACACTAATCACTAAGACACCACATAACACAACGCACGTAATTTTATACACAAGCACACATAAATATACACATACATACACACATATACATACACATATATATATAAATACACATACACACTATACATATATATGTCTCTACACACTTACAGACATATATTCTCACTATATTCGTACACCATGAGTGTAGGCAAGTTGGTTGTTGCACTCTCGATTCGATGATTCTGCCGTCTTTTTAATTAATGAATAATTATGTAATTAATGTATTATGTAATTAAGTAATTAATGAAGTAGCTTCGTACGTATGGCACATAGTGGTTGCATTGACGAGTAATGAGTAACAAAACAACGCGAAAAAACTTAGATAAAAACAATCTTGTAAGCGGTTATTTGTCGTGTCAAAATTTGAGGTCAATCAGTACAGAGCTTTTTCAGTTTTTCAAAAACTGAACAAGTTTAGTAACACAAATTAACCTAACATTTTTATATACATTTTTATATATATTTGTATATATTATTTGATAAACAAACACACTAACATTATTTAAGAAAGTTAATTTAATTACGACGATGTTAACATTGTTTTGACTACGGATAATAAAATATGATTTTTTAAATAATTAATTAATTTTTAATAATAATCCTAGTTTTGTAACAAAAATAATTTTTATGTTTTTACAAACTACATAGACAGGTAGGTAGTTTGCTGTAAGTCTATGTTGAGAAGCTTACGCCTAACTTCTGAACAAAGTTTCAATGGTCCTTGTAGATATTTGTGTCTATAACATTGATTTATAAGTTATTCTGTTGCTCGTTTGCAATTTCAATATATAATTAAATATTTCCTTAGTTATTACCAGTACTGTTTTCTAAAATACCTATTTAACAATACTACCTATAATTTAATACCTAAACTAATTTTATATTTAGACTTGAAATTAAGAAGTAAAAATAAAATATACTGATAAAATAAACCGACTCAGAAATATCAAGAAATACGGGCAGAATGAAATATGTTATATTTTTAAACAGCAATTATTGTATTTAAAAGAGATCTCCAAGTATTTAAAAGAATTAAATGAAACTGTCTAAAGTCAAAGACTAAACAAACATTTCTTTAAATAAACACAATTAAACGATATATTTAAAGCTTAAAACCTTATAAATTACTGAGTACGATTTTATTACAAGTCAGCGGCTACACCACATTCTAAACTGTACCACATACGGTCGCGCTGCCTTCGCCCTGAGGCCAAACCACAAATATATGGAACGGAGCTAACTTTATCTTCCCCTATCTGAGAGAATCTTGCGTAATATTGCTCGAGATATGAACTTACATTGTCACGATGCCATCTTAGTTTTACATAAATTACCTGCTATAGGGAAGCTTCAAGTTATAAAATACCATTCGACGAGGCAATTGCTTTTAGCAAAACTTTTGTAGGTATTTTAAAGGTTATATGAAATGGCAATAAACGACTATGTGTTAAAAAGTGTCTGTAGTAAGTTTAGCAATGTTTGTCAAATGATAATGGTCTATTGTGTTTTAGTATTGAGGCTTTTTGAGTCTATACTATTAAACAGGTTAGTTTATTTAATAGGTGTTGTGATATTCAAATGTTTACAGTATAATTTTGTTTAAAAAGTGAGTTTTTCTAAAAGAGTTTTGACCGTGAGTGACACTGAAAAAACCAGGCATTCGTTACTATTCACCGAAAGACTGAAAATTAACGACGACGAGCAGAATAAAGCTCCAAATCCTCTGCGGTAGTATTTTTTTTTAAACAGATCTCCCGCTTTAGGAATATATCCTGTGTAGCGGGGGACGGACACAAAGAACAGCCAGACTCAGCACAACAATTTGTGGATCACACAAAGAGTCGTCCCATGTGGCAATCGAACATACAACAGTCAGCGTAGTAGGAAGCGCCTTGGCAACCGCTTAAACTACTACGCCATCCGTGTAAAATTCCAGGGTCCTATAATTCTTGGGGTCCCATAATTCTTGAATTGCAGGTGAAATTTGCTGCGATAGCCACTTACCGTCAGGGGTGACCAGTCTGCGCTCTTGGATATACTCTTTTGCAATATACTCTTTGCCAGTTTAATCCCTAAAATGAGAGGACAATCGCATTTCCAAGTAAACTAAAACAAAATATGAGTTAATACGGCTCTGTCTACAACTTTAGTGAATGTATGTGTGTATGTTTGGTAAAAAGTAAATGTAATTAGTGAAGTTCAACAAATGAACTCAAAAAGGTTTTCATGATCGAAATATGTAAACCTTAACAGAATACCTGTGTTTACATTACGTCACATCTGCTACGTATTAAAAAAAATCCTTTTAAAACACATTCCAAACCAAAGCAAATGACATAAAAAGAAAACAACAATCAGGCTATTTGTCTTTAGGCGCACAAATTATACAGCGCCCTAATTACAAATGTATACAAACAAATCATTTGCATGAATTATCCCTCAAGATAATTTGAATCCTTATCACAAGGCAAATGAGTTTCCCGCTTCAAGAAAAAAAGATGGCGAATCTCTGTGCTGTCATTTTTGTTCACAACAAGATTTGTTATTTTCCTCTGAAATTCGGGGCTGTTTGTCATTTTGTCCCTCAGAATAATATCAAATCTCCATATTATTATTGCACAGGATTTACTTAGTCCCACAACCATGAATATCTTGATTTTTACTTGACATGTATATATGTTTTGTTAGAACTATACCGTATTATTGGTTATGCTAATGACGGAACTTATTTCAATTAACTTAATAACGTGAATCAGAATATCGTTATTAGTTATTTTAGTTTGCATTTTAATTTCATTTTTGTTTTATGGTGTAGGGAGTAAACAACCTGCCATCTCTCTCCCCCAGAATAAGGGAGAGGGAGACATTGGGTCTTTGGTACCGTCGTTAACTCAGTGGAAAACAACGAACAACGTTATACACAAACAGTATTCGATTTTCGAAATATTAGTCAATAAAATATGTCATAGTATGGATTATATTTTATCTGTGGCAGACAACAATATAAGGCTAAGCGCACACGCATCAACTACGAGGGTGCACACGCACGATATCACTTGCACAGAGACTCACGTCACTCAGGATTTTAGGATTTACTCGTCAGCTACGCAATCCGATGCGATTAGCGTAGTCAAACCCTATCATTATCAAACAAACATAAAACACATCAACTACGTACTTTAAGAATTAGATTTGAAGAGTAGTAGTTACACTAATGTAATCTAAAATATGGTTGTTGGGGATTTTTCTGTTTACTATGATTTTTTATCCTTTCTCTTCTTTCTTTTGGCACAATCATGCCAGAGTTAAAAGTGTTTAATGATCAACTGGTCAGGCGTGAAGAGATCAAGTAATTATACAAACTTTTGGATAAATAATTAGTCAAGTATACTTATTTAAAGTAAAAAGTAAATGATTATTTTTATTTGCTTCTATGTCTAAGTTGTTCTGAGTTGGTTATAACTAAGGTCCTTTAAAAAAACAGAGTAGAGCGTCTGAGGCTGGCCGTTGTTCGGTGTGGTTTTTAGTGGAAGCACCATATACTCTTGGCTCTCGTTTTCAGATAGCCGAACACCCGAAGGAATTATACCTCGTCAACAAAAAAGGTCCTTTAATAACAATCAAGTTTCAAATTCAAATGATCTTGCCTGGATAGCGTTTCTTGTAAGACCTCCTTATCCCAAATAATTGTCATTGTTCTTTTCTCTAGATTTAGAGCTTATAAATCATTGTATTTCCCTTTTATTTAGTGTACCATGTTATAAATATAGTGCTAAAATTAAGATATGGTAGTTATTTCTCACTATAATCTAAATTAGTCACTGTTGGCACGTGCGTCTACCACAAATTGCTGTAATGAACATAAATTAGGGAATGCGATAGACCAACAATGGTACCTGTATATATACCTACACATACTATACTTGCAGGATACTATTATAGGCTGGATTAAAGATAAATTAGTTTTTTATAAGTAAGTGTGGTTTAAATTACTTTTAAGTTAAGTTTAAGTCACATTTAGGACGTCATCCACACTTTTCTTTTTCACACGGGAATGTAGGACTCCTGATGGAAATATTGTTTACGTATGGTTTAAAGTACATACATATTTTCATGATTATCACAATAAATTACTGCATTTTTAGCTGGAAAGGAATATTTTTGTGACTCAAATTGAAGTAAAAGTCTGAGGCTATAAACACCTACTCGTATTTATATCCTTCACTTAGGTATAAGAAAACAAAAACATTAACCCACCTTACCCCTTCATAATACAACAATACCAAATATTATATTAACCCTTATTTCGAATTTGTCCGTGCTGTCGGACAAGAACTTAAAAAAAAACTACCTTCGTGTCTGTTTTTATTTTAAACACCAGAATTGTACCAAACTGTTGCTAGATTTTGTACGCCATTGTAAGAAAATGAATTTTGGGTATGGCAACCCCGAGTCTGACAGTTGCCAAAAAAATGTCGGTGAAACCGCGCAAAATGCAAACATTCCAGGTAATTTACTCGAAATTTATTATTTTTGTTTATGTTGACTAGTTTTTCTGTCTGTTTTTTATGAATTAATTTACTACCATTCAGATAACACAAACTCCATCGATTTTGCTCGAGTCATTCTCCGTAAATAACGATTTTTTTACTTGTCCGCCACACCGGACCTCGTCGATATATCAGTAAATTTTGTGTTATTTACCTTGTCCGTCACACCGGACATCGTCGAAATATGTAGTAAATTTAGTTAGTTTTGAGTTGTGCGTGGTGGCGGACATTGCCGAAAATTAAATTTTGACTTACACATGTGCAATGCCTGAAAAATCCTTACTTATCTACGTACCTTCACACTTACATGCAACAAACTACCTACTAACTACATAAATACTTACGTAAAGTCATGGACACTCACTGTGCAACGAATGTCAAACTTACACTGCTAACATTGTGATTCAAAAGTGTTACACCGTGAGTGACTCTGACTGACATTATTTATCTGCACGTACTTGCCTGTGTTGTGTAGGTACTTACCTTTTTGTGGTGGTGTGGTTTGCTTAGTTTTTCTTTGTTTTAGTCTTGCCTGCATGAACGCACGAAAAAGATATTGGCACTTATTCCTAAAGAACGTGCACCATCTGAAACAGGTGATAGTTCCGACGCTGAAAATGAGCTTGCATCACACTCTGATCCTTCTAACTTCAGTTCACCTGCACCATCTATTGCATCTTCGCTAGAGCGCTTAAACATCTTAGATAGTCCCGATGAAGATCCTCCTGAAACAAATATTCAAACCGACGACGACCTTGACCAGACTCCTTTGACTCCGATTTTACAAAAAGTATGTAATACCCTAAATAAGAGATCGCGTTAATTCCCGTTAAATAATATTAATTTACAAAAAGTTTTCCCAAATCAGTCGCAAGAACCCAATTACTCGAACTTACCGTCCATATCCTCTTTTCCCTTGTTGCCCACACCTGTAAACAGAAAGAGAAGACTCAGAGGACCATCTGTAGTAACAAAAAAGAGACCGAAGCGAATTCAAAAGTTTTCCCTCACTTACAAATGGAAACAGTGTAATTTTTTGTACAGAGCTCAAATAGAAGATTCCGTAGAAACTGAAAACCCTCCCGAAATCTGTTCACCTTTTAGTTATTTTTCAATGTTTTTCTCCGAAAATGTCATGGCAAATGTTGTGCAAGAAACGAACGCATATTCTGTGCAAAATACTGGCCGCTCCATAAATTTGACTGAAGACGAATTCCGCGATTTCCTTGCAATTCATATTCTGATGGGCATAGTATCGTTACCGTCATATTTAGACTACTGGAGCAAAAAATACAGGTACGATAAAATTGCAAGTATCATGCCTCTGAAGAAGTATGAAACAATCCGCCAAACTTTACATTTTGCAGACAATAACTTTGAAAACTCTGACCGGTATTACAAGGTTCGCCCATTACTTGAGGGAATACGACAAAACTGTATGGCCCAGGAAAGCGTAACAGGCGAACGCACTTTCAGCGTAGATGAAATGATGGTGCCGTACAAAGGACGGAAAGCAGGCAAAAGACGCCAATATATGAAAGACAAGCCAACCAAATGGGGCTTCAAAATGTACGTTCGAGCTGGAACTTCAGGCATGATCTACGATTTTCTGCCATACGGGGGCGATGATACATTCAGGTATCACAAATTCACTGATGAAGAGCAAACGATAGGATTTGGTGCCCAAGTTGTACTGGCACTTTGCCAGACTATCCGGGACAAACCAGCAACGGTTTGTTTTGATAATTTCTTTACGTCGCCTGAACTTGTTTATCTGTTGCGTGAAAATTATGGTACCTTTTCTTTGGGCACTATTAGAAGCAACCGCCTTAGAGGAGCCGAAAACAAATTGGTGAGCGAAAAGGCACTAAAAAAGAAACATAGAGGAGCCTTTAGTCAAACCGTATGCAACAAAAACAAGTTGTCGGTTGTGAGGTGGCACGACAACAAAGCGGCTACTCTTATCAGTTCCTATACTGATGCTGAACCGGTCCATAGGATCAAAAGATATTGTAAGTTTGCGAAGAGGAAAGTCGATGTTGATTATCCTAATATTGTGAAGGAATATAACAAAAACATGGGCGGAGTCGATTTATCTGACATGCTGATTGCCTTGTACAGAACTCCATTCAGGAGTAAGCGTTGGTACATGGCAATATTTGCACAAATGATTGATATTTGCGTGAACAATGCGTGGATCCTGTATCGCAAACATAAAGGCTCTGACAGTAAATACATGCGGCTGAAAGATTTCCGGTATGAAATATACCGTGGTTTAATCAGCACAAATAGAAGTGCTAAATATCAGAAAACGGAAGAAAGCACGATCAAGCACGTTTGTAAACCAAGACCAGCTGACAGTTCACGTTATGATGGGGTTGCGCACTTTCCTTCAGTGAAGGAAGAAGGTCGTTGTATGTACTGCAATAAAAAAACTACGGTTTATTGCCTGAAATGCGACACACGCCTTTGTTTTGTGACGGGAAAAAATCCAAGAAACTGTTTTTTGAGTTTTCATGTTAAATAATGCATGATAAATGCTTGCACGTTCTAATTTTATCTGTTTCATTTGTTTTTAATTATAAACTAAGATTAAACCACGGCTTATTTGACTACTTACATCGTTTCCTTTTCACCATACAGCTCCTGCCACGTATTTGCTAAAGTCCGTTAGGGCGGACAAGCAGTTTTATCACTTTGTTTCCTCAGATTCGATAATGTCCGGTATGGCGAACACCGTTTTTTTTTTAAATGGTAGGGGCTAGATTTTATTTTTTATTTTTTTGTGACTCGGGAAGAACCAGGAAACGAGATAATTAAATAAAATTTGCCTTATTTTATTACCAACTTCTCCATCGAAATAAGGGTTAAACATATATAATGTGCTAACTATAATACGATCGCACTCACTATTGTCTCCACACCTATTTCTATCAACCAGAAGGCCAATTCTCGTAATAAAAGTTCGGTCTCAATTCAGTTCCGATCAACTTGTACATCAGTACGATCTCACAACTGCCATAAAAGGTATTTTCGTAGTATAAAACATATGACTGTAATGTGATTATATCGTACTCTGCTAATCTTCGTAATACTATTTCACTACGAAAATATCTTTTATGACAGTTGTGAGATCGAAAGTTGATCGGAACTGAATTTTTGAACTGAATTTTGGAACTGAATTTTTGGAACTGAAAGACCGAACTTTCATTACGAGAATATGGCTTCCGGAACTCTGGGAAACGGAAGAAGTAAAGGCAGTAAAAAAAAAACTTAATAGATTGGAAAGTGTGTAGCAATAGCTGGAACATATCAGGAACTGGGTGTTGCCAGGAACTACAAGCTTATTGTGATTATGATAAGGTTAAGAACAGTAATAGTAAAATTATGAGCAAGGTAATTATGACGAACTACGATCAAAGTAAGTCCATAAAACTAAATCTTAATACAACCTAACGCACTAACACAAATAAACCGACTCATCATAATATCCCCAAATGAATGTTTAATAATAATTAATGTTTAACACCCTACATTATAATCAATATTAATTCATCACTAAGGATTGGCGCACACTATGCGACAAGGCCGGTCTACAAGCGCGGTCCGTCAGTCAAGCGGCTTAGAGGATTTACTCGGTCTGGTGCAGGCCAAATCAAACGCTCCATTGACTCAAAATCCTTACTCTAATTGAAATTTAAAAGCGTTTTTGACAGTTCTCGTCGGCCATTTGCAAATTATAAAGGAATACTGTGTGTGGATTTAAATGATAAAACTTTTGTAGGATGTAAACCTTTTTATCTGTGAACAATTGCAAACGAGTTTATATTTGAAAAATATTTTATCTGTACTATAATAAAGTTTATTAATTTAAGTTCATTAAAGCATAGAGAAAATATTTAAACCAAGAAAAAAAAGAACCTGTAAGATTTAAATAAAGAATTTAGTTCAAATTAGATTAGTAGAAGATTCTATTGCCTCAATGCCTAAATAAATATTTGGAGTCGAACATCTAAATATCTTAAAATACTCACTTGTGACTTACTAAACAGAAAAATCTAATAACATCTTTCAGTGCTTATTTCTAAAGTATAAAATCTTATGATCAGGTGTTCTGTTAATATCATTAGCCTAAGGGTCAAGTAATCCGAGCTAACGTTCAAATTACTTTTATGGGTCCTAAAACTACTAATCTTGAACTGAAATCAGTGTGAGCTAATTCAGGTCAAAGGCCATGAATAATTCAGTCAATGAAACACACCGCAAATTATGCCGATATCTAGCTACAAATCACTAGGTAGGGTTGCTTAATGGTCAAAGTTGATTCTTAATTATTCTTAAGATCAAATATATCTCAATAGCTCTTTTGTATCCCAATAGATAATTATCGCCAAACAGAAAACTTTATAGATGCTTAAAGTCAGGAAGTGAAGTATAAAAGAAAGTTATATTCGATTTTCAAAATTTAGAATATGAAATTTAAAAATCGATCTCTAGTTTCCAGCTTTAAATTTTTATCCCATTTCTTTGTTTTTATTACAAGATTTTAGAAACTTACGCACTGGGTCTAAACGTTAAAAAAAAAAACAAAATAGTGTTTTGACAACTAATAGTCCCTGCCTTAGTATTTCAAAGAAAGAACTTTTAAGTTACTTTTGGTTTGATTCTCTTTTCTAACTTTCAGACACGAGGTTCAACAATATCTCTGTGAATTATTTTTCTTTTATATAAGTTTTGGTATATTTATTATGCCTTTCACGTCAAGTGAGGTGCTCCGGCAACCCTGTCACACACTGAACTAATTGTGTAATGGAATCCGTCTATCATTAATTAAGGACACCACGCACGTATTGAGTTGCCAACAATGAGTACGAGTGTAAGCGATTGAGTTATGAGCACTTGATAATATTACTGTTGCCTTTTTGTGATAAGCGAAGGTTCTAAGAAATATTTTTCCAAAAAAATCGAGTGGGCTTTAGACTACACGACTGAAGTAAAACTTCTTGGCTATGAGAGAAAGAGAGAGAAAGAGAGAAAGAAAATGTGTGCTCGCACCTCTCTCTTGCCACTACAGTAAAATACGAAACGTAACTCTCTACCTTTCTACCTTTACTAACTTAGACCTCCCTCTCAACTTCCGTTCGCCTCGCCCGATGACACTTTTCGTAACGCTCTTTTCACGCATTCACAAGCTTACACCCCAAGTCAAGCGTGCGTCATGAAGTTTAACGGAAGTTGAGAGGGAGGTCTACCTCCCTCTCAACTTCCGTTCGCCTCGCCCGATCACACTTTTCGTAACGCTCTTTTCACGCATTCACAAGCTTACACCCCAAGTCAAGCGTGCGTAATGAAGTTTTACTTCAAAAAAATCTGGCCTGTTGGCAACTTTTGTGTCTTTCAATTTAAAGAAAAAAATATCTATGTCAAATATACTCTTAAATTTCTATTAGCTCGCTTCAGATCGCTATATTATATCGCTATATTCTTTCAATATTGGTTAGTTACTAAAACACCGTATATGGATATTAAAATATATTATGCCATTTATAGATGTTACAGAAAAGTGTGCTTACATTGTAATATGATCGCATAGACCCCGTAAATAACATGAATTGCTGAAACCTTCTTTCTAAGGAGAGGTCTATGTCCAGCAGTGGACTATTAAAGGCTGTTGATGCTTACAGTTTTAGGAAAATTCATTCATTAAAAGAGCAGTCTTATATTGAATATGATAAATTAAACTTGAAAATGACTAATTTAGCTAATATATTTTTGAAATTGGGTTGAAAATTGACTAATTAAGTTAATATTTCATATGAAAAAGGGTTGACATAAATTATGATAAAATCTGAAGGTATTGTTTCAAGATTCCCGAAGATAAAAATGAGATTTCAAAATCCGTTTCAAAAGTTCTCAAAATGAGTTAAAAGCTTTGTTAAAGTTAAAAAAAAAAAACAAAATAGGTACAAATTTGTTCCGTACTAAAATTAAGTAAGACTGCATGGATGGCGTAGTGGTTTAAGCGGTCGCCACGCCGCTTCCTACTACGCCGAGTGTTGTGGGTTCAAACCAGATATGGGACGACACACATAAATTGTTGTTCTGAGTCTGGGTGTTATTTGTGTCCGTTTCATGTATGTTTGTAAAGTCCCCCACGACATAGAATATATTCCTAATGCGTGAGTTGTTTTAAAAAAGAAAAAAAAGAAAAATTGGTTCGTTTCATTTCGTTTAAAAATTATTGTTTGGAAACATTTTATAGACTTCAAATATCAAATAGCACATTGTTTTTGCTGTGGTTTTCAGACATAATTTAATTTAGATCTGGAAAAATGGCAAACAACACAACTGAAACAATTATTATTTTATAAAGTTTACTTCATAATATAGACCTTGCCTAACTGTTCTCGCTAACATATATTACTGTTTGAATAATCACAACTTAAATCTTAAACTATCAAAATTACCACACATTATAACAACAATAGTTCGCATCCCTTACATCCCAGATTACACCAGCGATGCCTCAGACATCGCAGGTGTAATTAATTCCAAACTAATTACTTGTCGTGATACGCGAACTAAGTTACGTTAATAACTAATCGTGATACGCCTAAGTACGTAAGTAGGTACGCGGTGTAGCGGCACAAGTCATAAAACTAAGCGAATTTATGTTGATGATGATAATGATATATGATTTCATCATCATCGTCATCATCAACAGCCTTTAATAGTCCACAGCTGGACAAAGGACTTTCATTAGAAAGGAAGTTTTGGCCTAGTACACCACGCTGGCCAGACGGGTTGGTATAGGGCTTGTGTCAAGTTTTCTTTCTCTCTGCAGTGCTGTTAGTTGTTCTGCGTTATTTTCTCCCTTAGTCGACTCTTACGACACCCACGGGATGAACAGGGGTGGTGATACTCCGTATTCTTAATCCGTCACCACACGGATCCGTGTCTATGTTATATTTTTTCCAAAATGGCAAGCTACATTATCAGATAGTAACAAAAGCTACTTTGTACCGCGATATTTTTTATTTAAATTCGTTAACAATTGATTACAATTGTGTCTAAATATAATAATTTATAATAGTGAGAATAAAAAGGTAACATATAATCCTTAAAACAATTTACATCAAAACATATAAAATAAGATAAAAACATTTTAGATAACCGACATACACGCTGGCGGAGCTTCGCAAAACCTAGTTTTAACATGTTTTTGTGCACGTACTTTCTACGCTTGAATAAGACTTAAGAAACTTAAGACTTAAAGAAATGCAACAAAAAAATAGAAACTATAGTTATATGGTTACAAAAATATAGTCAGCAAATATCCTACACATATTTTATCTAGAGCACGACTAGACCTCGCTAGAATGTGAAACGGTTTACAGAAAACTGACTAACTACGGAAAGGGACAGACGAAAGACCAGACCAGATCAAGCCGTTGTCAAATTAATATGATTCAGATTGATATCTGTTTTTGTCTGACAAGGCAAAGCTGTAAAAACAAATTCAGTTTAATTATACGTTATTTATATGACTATGAAGTTATCCAAATTGTTATAATACATAGATACTATATTTTAAATTTCCAAATATAAACAAATGATGTTTTTTTTAAAGACCACTACCGCACTAGGAATATACTCGTATATCCTGTGTCGCGGGGGACTTTACAAACATACATGAAACGGACACAAAAAACAACCCAGAATAATAATTTGTGGATCACACAAAGTGTCGTCCCATGTGGGGATCGGACCCACAACTCTCAGCATACTAGTGAGTGGTGTAACGGCCGCTTAAACCACTACGCCATCCGTGCAGTCGCGTAGGTAAACAAAACATATGAAATCTACAAACCGTTTAAAGTTGTGTCTCATGTCTGGTTCCCTTTCGGTTTGAAGTCAAAGCCTTGTCTGGCCCCGGTTCGTTAGTTGCAGATTTAGTACTCTCGCAGGTACACTACCCGCGGTTAACATGTGTGACTTTGCGTGCAGATAGATTTTTGATCTAATACTGACATTGCGATATAACAGACAAAAGAGAATGGAAAACAATGTGAAACGATTTTGATTGGAAAAGAGTATTTGAACACGTGACTAAGGGTATTAGATTTGATAGCATCTATATTTTTTACGTTACGTTTTGTGTTTCGAGTGTATGTATGTTTATACAATTGAAATGCTCTATAGCCTAAATAGCCGAAATAAATGGATTTTGGCTTGAGAGGTGTATTTAGGTTTGCCTTAAGTGTAAGAGGGATAGACACCCATAACCGTATGCGATATTTATTTTTAAAAATCTGTTAAATTTTCTGTTTACTCATTTTGATATCATTAACCAAATAAATGGAAAATTATAAAATAAATTGATGAATTTTCCTGCAGAAAGTTCCAATGATTTTCGACTCAGCATGATGGTCTGAACACACTATTTCAGTATTCGTTACAGCGGTTCTTACAGTTCTTAATATGTACAGGATATATTAAGAACTTAAAAATTAACTTCTGAGCTACTTTGAAGATTTAACGTCAACCTCCGGAAGATGGCTTCTTCCGGACTTCCTTTTTACAAGCCGTGTACTAACACAATCGATTCTCTCTCGAAGTCTTTTAAAATATACTTTTATTCGTTTTATTATATTTAAAAAAACAATAGGTTTATTAGTTCGGAAAATAAACTGCATAGAACTTCATACTTGACACAACACTTTTTGTTCTAACATTATTTTGATATGATCACTTAGAGCTAACATAATAATAACACTACTCTCTTTTGCGGTATGGGGGCAAAGGAGCTCACGGGTCACTTAAGTGACTAACGTTGCACATGGACACCAGTAAGTCAAAGACACAAATGTCACCCCTTGAGTGCCCCCAAACACTCCCTCCTCCCGCCTCTAGGGCGAGAGGTTCAGGGAGGCGAGAGTTTACTCAAAAAAGTGTTTACTACTTCTAGCTTTTAAAGTAACACTCAGGTAATTTTAAATTTCTTTTCTATCTACAGGTCAAAGTGATGCTCCGTGTTGGCGCCTCCGGCGAAGGTCCATTCACGAGCGGCACCCAAACCTTTTCAATGGACAAGCGCAAGAAACAGGTCAGCTTGTGCGAGACAGCACCTTCTACCACCGCACCTGAAGACAGAAAGGTTGGGGTAGCAGCCCCCAAGATGTTCGCCTTCGACGCTATATTCTCGCAGGATGACTCACAGGTCAGTCTCACAAATGAATGAATCTAAAAAGAAATGTGTTCTCCTGACTTTTCAATCTCAAAAAGAGGAACTGAACCAAGATTAGAACTATTTAGAGTCCTGTCTTGGATCTCTACGTGTTTCCAAATGGATTAATGTATTCTCATCCTCAGGAGCAATACTTCGTGTCTTTCAGAGAAGGGAGAACTTTTGCATTTGAATGTTTGTTTCAGTGAGCTATATGCAGTCTCAAGCTGCTGAGTATTAGATAATGTTTGATAACCTATAAACAGACAGTTCTGGACAATAGACTAACAAGACTAAGTTATATTTATTAGTATACAGACACGGAACAGTATTAGGCTATAACATATGTTTAATTTATATAACAGTGACAACTATATAAACATCATTTATTTGTGACTTCCCTCAATATCAATCTTTATATTTATTTATAGTTTATTGTATTAATTTTGGCATGATGCTGTGACAGCAGAATATGACGAAACTGATATCATTGTAAGAACTTTTATACCCACTCATGTTCCGTAAAATAAAGTCTTGATTTTATTTGATTTCATTAACATAGATGAAGCGATTTTAAATAATATATATTAAACTTTGATTTAGGAATTAATATTCTCTTCTAAATTATTCAAAGAAACCTGATACATGCAAAACTTTACCTTCTAAGATTTGCTTAATCATAGTAACAAGGTAAAGAAAAAAAACAATAAAAAGAAAAATTCTTAAAAATGAAATGACAAAATATTCTGACGGATAACAGCGTGGGCGAGCCGACGTAACAAAATGGTCGTCATTAGAGGAAAGTACTAAACTGTACTCGTTTTAGGAGGTACCTTTGAAATTATAAGAACAAAAGAGGTGATTAGCGTAATAACCCTATCCAGAATTGTTACTGTAAAAACGAGTCGAGCGAAAAATCTCAATTCTTAATTTTAACTTGTAACATTTTATTTAATATATTTAAACATCGTTATGACTAACGATGTTTATATACCTTTATTGAAATCATTTAATAACATTATTTTATTATACAAAGTTGATTTTAAGAATTATAAGTTAATAAAAATAAGAATTAAGCAACAAAGCAGTGATTATTTTGTTCTATTCTACGATGGTTTAATATTTAGATGGTTCAGTAGTATATATTTTAACTTTTTGCTAATTTTATTCTTTTTTTTTGTAAATTAAAATTAAACTATTTAATACTACAAACTTCACTGTTAATGATATAGAATTTATTATTAAGTTATATATTTCTAAGTACATACATATTACTCGTATATCATACTCAGACAGAACAAATAATCGTGTTCATTACACAAATATTTTTCCTGGGTGGAAATCGAACCCATGGCCTTAGTGGTTAGGTTAGTTAGGACACGGACTGCTAAGCTGGCTTAGCGGTCCGGGTCACTAACCACAGACCAACAGGCCCGTGAATAAATAATCGAAGCGAAGAATATTTGTTACTTGCAAATTAAAATTATGAGTCATTATATTTTATAATTATTAGTAGACATCAGAATACAAATAAATTCATTTTCGACTCATTTGAAATAGTTTAAATGTAAAATTTATTTATCTTTTAAACGTTTACAAACATAGCCTTAGAATTTGGCTTGTAAATTTCATTCACGAGATAAATGGTGGAATACTAAGTTCTGTTAAATATGGACAATATAATGGAATGGACTATGTGTCCCATAATGTGTCCCATAAAATATTCTAAACGTGTGTCTTTCTCCTAACGCTCCATGTCGCATACTGTTCGGATGGTCCCTCGGTAAAAATAAAGGAATACTTACTATTACATAAAACTTTCTTACTAAACGAACGGTGCAAGTTACAAATGGTTAACTGTTTTCTTCGAAAATGTTTATTGCAGAAACTACGATTGACATTCATGGTATATTCTATCATATTTATTAGAATTTCTGTGTATACCTTGCTCTTATTTTAGAAAGTTATTAATGTCTTTAAGTATATCTTGTGTACGTGTCTTATTTTACATAAATGAAGTAAAATGAGCGTGATCTTTACTAGAATCTAACCTTACTATTTAAGTCGGTTTCTGAAAATAATTATCTCGTCTCGAAATCTTTCCATTAAACTAACAAAACGGTAAGACTGTACACACATCCCACTCCAAACAATAAGTCTTTCTTGAATATTTGCTGAGTGCAATGGGCTCTAAATTTACCAGAGACCATTTGACCAACCGCAAAATCGCTTACTCCTAAAACTTAAGCGTCCATAGAGCATCTGTCGCATAGTTCTATATACCCCTGTATTTCATGCACCAAAAATGTCTCCGTCGGAGCGAGCCGCGAGTTTTCGTGTTTAAATTGTTAAACGGCGTGCACTGTGCGAATAACGCCAACTTTCGCGTCCCCCTTTCACAAAAATTTTTACATTTTTGCTGCGAACTCGTATAGAAATTGTTAGCGGTTTTAACGAGATTGTGAAGCTTATAAGGAGTTAGTTTACTGTTTGCGTTAGCCTCTTGATACTTCTTGCAGAGGATTAAAATTGTTTATCCCCATTTTGTTGTAATGAATCTAAGTAAATGTATAATCCCATTAATAGAATGAATGGCAGAACAGTAATAACGCTAGAACTCGACTGAGTGTTTATATATTTTACTAAATTCATGTAGGTTCCTGTTTGTATGTTTACTTATATATATGTGTTTATATATTGTCTATATCTCTGGAATTCAGTTATTTTAATATTTTAATTTGAACCTACCGTATCATATTTCTACATCACCTGAAGGTTGACTGGGAGAGAATGCCTCATGGCATTATGTCCGCCTTTGTACAACATGTGCATTAAGATTAAAATAAATAAATAAATGTCTCTTGATGCAGACAATTGTAAGTTCTTGCATTTACTTCATCGTCAAGTATCTAGTGGACACTTACGGTACGGCTGGTCCACAAGTTCAAAGTCGCTCAACGTGCTATGGAAAGGGCTATGCTCGGCGTTTCTCTAAGGGATCGCATCAGAAATGAGGTGATCCGGCAGAGAACCAAGGTCACCGACATAGCGTACCGGATCAGCAAGCTGAAGTGGCAGTGGGCTGGCCATATTAGCCGCAGAACCGATAACCGTTGGGGAAAACGAGTTCTTGAGTGGAGACCGCGTCTCGGCAAACGTAGTGTAGGACGCCCACAGGCCAGGTGGAGTGACGATTTGCGCAAGATGGCTAGCAGGAGCTGGATGCGAGAAGCCCAAAATCGATCTAAGTGGCGTGCAATGGGAGAGGCCTATGTCCAGCAGTGGACTGCGATAGGCTGATGATGATGATGATGATGATGATGATGAGGTATCTAGTGTTTTAAGCATGTCATTGGCAACGTGTGAGTTTCTTATTTATTTCCCATTTCTTCCTACCAAAAAAAATCTTGTACATTTCGACTTTGGAAATAAAAGTATTATTTTAGTGATCTGCAATACAGCATTCTTGTTTATTGATTTCTTATTGTTTCTTTAATCACAGGATGAATATACAGTTACCAGTTTGCTCTCTTAGAGCTACTAAATTTTTAATCCTATTTCACATCCGAAACTTAAGATACCTCTTACCCTAGTACTCTTTTTTTACCTTATTTTTTCGTTCAATCAAAAATGATTACATGTCTCTAGAGAATTTGGATAAAATATGAAGATGATGTACAATACAGTTTAACATAATATAGACTCAACATTGTGCCAAGTGTGTGAGTATTTCGGTACTCACATTCACAAATTCATACTCACATACACACTGAGCACAAAGTTAGGTGCAATGTGTATCTAGTTCCATGTGTAATGAAGAAAAAACCCAAAAACGCAAGTTATTAACCTGTCTGTACTACCATTACCTTACAGACTGGCTACACCTCGTACATGTTAGTTATCCCCGCTATAACTCAGCCGTGGACGGTGTCCCGGCTTACAGGCTTAGTGACGTCACACACATAGCAATTATGGACGTAATCTACCTTTATGACGAAGTGTACACCTCCGCGAATGTTATTTTTTGGTACTACATAAATTTAAGTGTACTTTTGTTCTTTCTGAATTAAGTTGGGTATATTCGTATAGCCTCATTTATAGTTGTGTTTTGAGTTATCTTAAATTGCAGTCATAAAATCTCTTTTCGAAGGAATCTCGTACATCACTCGCATAGTTGTAATAAGTTGACATAAATTACACAATCTGCAGATGTACCTCTGAACTTGATGTAATTCACCATAAACCATCTACTAAATTCTCAAGGAAATTTTCTTTATAGTTTATAAATGTATGTATATACTCGTATAGTAAAATGTACCATAATTGAGAAGCAAATGAAGGCACTTTTTGTATATTTTAAAATGATTTTTAGATTTAATAGAATGATCATAATTATCAGTTTAAACGAATCTCAAAAATAGAGTTACACAGTAATTCACAAAAGCTTAGGATTAGGCTTAGATAGGATTTTCTAACCACCCTAGGTGATTAATCCCGACTTGATATGGATCACCAGCTAATGGTATACAGACATCAGTCTATAAACAACATGTCACCATTAACTGAATGAGAACTTTTATTACGCGATGTAGGATCAGTAGTTACGACGATATTCCGCTTATCTTTATCGGTTGGCACTTCGGTACGTTCACTATATGTTCATGGTGCTTCAGCGCCACTATCAGTGCATGCTAATGGCCAAATACCCCGACGCTTCTCCATTACAATATCGTCTCGTATTATCGCCGTGACTGACATTTAAATAACGTAAGAGGTTGTTTGCATAACATTATGTTTTTAGCTTTTCTTTTACTTAGTACGTAAACTCGTTAGAGTATTGTTCATTGCACCTTATTTTGTTAACAAAAGTAACTGTATTGTTGTATTTGTGTAATAACTTCCTTCTGATCTTCTTAACAAACTTTGCATAATATTTTGAATATACTTCTTTATTATAATCTTAATGTTAAGGTTATTAATTTAACCTACGTTCAAAATTGTTTTCGATAATTCCCCATCTATGGGGATATTGATTGGCTTATTACTTCACGAGCAAAAAACTTTTTGATCAGTCATATAACCCGCTGATGGGAATGGGTTATCGGTAGCCTATACCACTCTCCATAATACTGATATAACAATAATATAACTGGTGTGTTAAACTCTTTTTTTTTTTTGTTTTTTTTTTAAACGCATCTCCCGCACTAGGAATAAATCCTGTGTCGCGGGGGACTTTATAAACATACATGAAACGGACACAAAGAACACCCAGACTTAGAACAATAATTTGTGAATCATACAAAGCGTCGTCCCATGTGGGGATCGGACCCACAGCACGCAGCGTAGTTGTGAGCGGCGTGGCGACCGCTTAAACCACTACGCCATCCGTGCAGTCAAGTATTCTCTACCCTGCTCACGAGTATCATCTCAAAACTGGCACTACTCCAGCAATCTTTATGCCGTCACTTACCTGAAATATTTATTATACTGTTTACAATATGAAGCAGTTCATAGTTCTGGGTTGCTTCTATTTTGTATATAATCACTATCGGTTTAGAAGTTGTAGTGTGAACCTGTATCAGGTAGATCGATAAAAAAAATCTTACATATAAAATTGCGTATCAAGTAGGTCTGGTATCCCTATTTCTTTTTTGACATTTTTTTTTTAATAGTGTATATATATGGCAAAACAACGTTTGCCGGGTCAGATAGTTATAAAAATATTAATATTTTGGACATCTGACCCACAACATCATCTGGTTTTAAAGTGAGCAGGGATTGTACCTACTATGTAAACTAGATTGACTGATAGATAGAAAACTTAAATACTATTTTTTGTAAATACATACATATTATAAAATTTATTTGTGCGCCGTTGTTATAGTAGAAAGACACAATTTGTACAAAGAACACCCTTTATCGCTATATGCAATCTCTGTTAGGCAGATATAAGAGTATTTTTTCAAATTCTGTTACATATATATATTATTATTAGTTAGTATAATAGGTGAATAAATCATTGCTATCACACGTAATAATAGTGGATTACATGGAGTTCGTGTATTAAGCCCATAAGCCAATAACCAACATTAAATGTATTGGACCATGCTGACTGGCCTCTTGGTCTAGTGGTTACCGATCCTGACTGCTAAGCCAGGGGACGTGAGTTCGATTCCCATCCAGATCAAATATTGTATGAGAATCAAGATGATTTGTTTTTTGTCTGAGTGTGGTTCAACCTTTTTTTTTTTCTGTGCGGGAATCCCTTCGGACACCACCAACCGGTGGTTATGTTGGACTTGAACCGACTAAAAACCGGACACCGTCTCGGGTGCCAGGGAACCTGGTGTACCCTAGAAAGGAAAGTTCTGGTACGGTGTGGTTCATCCTAGTTTCAATTGAGACATAGTTTTACATACCCATGTGAGGATCGAACCCACAACACTCAGCATAGTAGGAAGTGGCCTGGCGACCGCTTAAACCACTACGCCATCCGTGCAGTACAGCTTTGACCTTAAGTATTAATTTCATTAATTAAAATCTAAGCCAACATCCCTTATAAACGATAATAATATTAAATTTCTATTGACTATCAGAAATAACGTCGAAAGCTGAATTATTATAACAACCATCAATAAAACTATTAAAAATAACAAGCGGGGGGGTGTAATAATTTCATTAATTCAACAAAATGTGTCGGAAGTTCATAACGGAATTGATTACCTACCCTCTCAATTAAGGCTAAGCATTCGCAATTAGCGAACTGAGACGGTCATTAAAATTTTCATTCAAAACAATTTTAGTATTCCAGTTTTGAGTTTATGTTCCCAAGTTAGGGTGACATTATTTATGTTAGTCTAAGGATAATTATTTTGTTGAAGATTTTTTTAATTAAGAAGACAGCTGAGCTTACTCTCCGACATATGTTCTTTATTTTACAGTATGGTTACAACGATTTATAATTGGGTATAATGTCTTTAAAACTTATGTATTTGAAACTAACCAACCCAATTAAATTCCAATTACATTAATTTTGTTACTACTAACCGTTTTATATCTACATGTTTATTCTACGCATTCCAAATTATGAAACAAACAATTTACAATTAATATATACACATGTATTGAAATTTATCCCTACCAGTTGCAAATCATCGCCACCCTATCGCACTCCTAATCTCAGAACGCTACCTTAAGTCCCTTTAATTATCCGCTAAGGTTGGCATGAACAAAAATATAAACAAAAGGACCACAATTACTTATTCAAGCAATAGATAATTCTATTATAAAAGTGATCAACGAGCTTTTATCTCCTTAAGACTTCATAAACCAGGGCTTGCTATGTGATTTATTGAGCCTTAATTATTAATGTGTTTTAGGTGGTAAGGGTAGATTTTGAACCCTTAAAGATATCACATGCTCTCTTGGAGATTTCGTTTTATGAAAATGTTTGTCTGTAAAATTGAAATAAAAATGAACACAATTAAACCATTATATATAGGTATGTTAAAATTAATTTTATAACCAATCGAAAATTACAGAACTTGTTTATTTTTGTACTGCAAATTTAGGAAGTAATGAGTACTTACCCAATAGAGTATTTTAAAATTAAAAACCTTAATCACAATTCACAGTAACTAATTATCATTTTCTAATTAAAACTTTAACTAAAACATTTTGAAATAAGAATCAATTCCGAATTATAAAACAGTAAACATATAAGCTAAAGGGTTTAGTAAATCCGAACTCATTGTCACCCTCCAATCTGAGCGCACCTTAAGTCCCTGTAATTACCTGTTTAGGTGGAAAGAAAACACCTCGGCTCTTTGCTGGCAGCTTTACTCCGCTTTATAAGTAGAAGATTTGACTAAATTATGCAAAGTTTTTGTACCTACCCTCACTTGGTTAAAGACAATGATTTTGTTGATAATTTGCAGTTAAGAAAATGTACGCATAATTAAATAAAAGTTAACCAGTTATCAACTCTTTAGTAGATTATTAAAAAAAAATTGGTAGTTTTATTTTTTAAACAACATGTATTAGTGATTTTACTAATATGCGTGACATTTTTTTATTTTAGTTTACTCTTGATACCGATTCGTTTTATAATAATGTCATGCTGATCTGCAGCATGACCTGTCTTGGAAATATTGTGAAGTTCAATCCCTACTAATATTAATCAATAAATCTAAATAAATTAAAAAGTAACTCTGTGTATCTGTTACGCTTTCACGGCTAAACCGCTGAACGTTTTCAGTAAAATTTGGTATGAAGATATTTAAGTTGTAAAGAAAAGACATATGCTACTTTTGTCCGAGGTAAAGTAAAGCTGGTGACCCAATAAATTACGTTTAAATATGGTAACTTTCCTACAATATGTGAGAATGATTTCGTAATAAGGGACGGAAAAGTATAACAGGAAGCGCATATTATTTGAATTGTCCAATAAGCGCGTGTGGTTGTATTAGACCAATGAACGCGCGCGATGCTATGCGATGGTATTCTCACTTAGTTTGGGATGAGACTGCCGGGCGTGAGATGCTAGACATTGTTATTCTTTTATATTATTATTTGATCGTAAATAAATAATAATAAGTTTTTAAACTCATAATTCCTATTCCTTTGTTGCAGACGGAGATATGTTCAAGTGCATTGACGGATGTGATCCACGCCGTCATTAACGGTACGGACGGTTGCCTCTTCTGCTTCGGACACGCAGGACTTGGTACGTAACAAATAAATAAAAATAAAAAAAGACGTGTGGCACTCGGGGACTGCCGCGGTAAAGCTATTGCATAGCATTTTTTATCAACTTATGCAATTATAATTATTTATTTATTTTATTTATGCAGTATTTTTTTTCTTTGTTTTTTTTTTCTTTGATATTAATTAAATTGCGGGGCGAAGAGGGGGATTACGCATGCGCAGTAACGCCGATACAACCAATGCCATCTAGAGGCGAGTTGCTGAACTAAAGAGACAAGCGTGATATTTCAAAAAAGTCATTAAAAGTTCTGCTATTCATCGATAGATGGCAAAACTAAAAAGTATCACGTGGGGTGTGTTAGGTTATTTTCGTTACGGAATTTCTGGATTCGGTCTCCACGCTCAAGGCCCGCGATAGAAGCTATGCAATATCTTAAAAATTATGCTCATTGAAATAAGAAATAGTTTGAATCGAAAAGTGTTTAGGTACAACAGAAATCGGCCAAAATAACCGTCTTCTACCAAAATAGAAAATAGAGAAATAAAGAAAATAGAAAAAACATCTTCTTCTGTTATATGGTAGCCATAGTCATAAAAATTAAACAGCTGTAAAGTAGCTGTAAGCTGTGATGTGTGATGTGATAACACACACACAACGTAAAACGTTATAAGTATAAATTTATAACGTTTTACGTTGTGTTACGTATTGCTGAATTTTTCAGCATTTCTCAGATTTAATTCCTCCACAGGGATAGCCAATTTTGTGTACGCAAATTTGTTCATTGCGTAGCATATTGTTTACCAAAGCCACAGAAAATACTTTCAATCAATATTTTTTACTAAATGGATTAAAAATAGAGAGGTTATTCTCTCAACGGAAAATTAGAGAAAAGATTGGTGTACGTTACCTACAATCATATTTAATTTAATTCCACAAATGAAATGTTTTATAAAATGTAATAATTAATGTATTGTTGTATATAATGTTTATTTTATACAGATAATAATAAATAAGTGAATAACAAACTATTGAATAAGGTAATCAATTGTTACTGATAGTAGAATGTAAAAAAAACCGCCTGTAATTTACTATCGCAACTAGTGTGAATTTCACCTAACTAGAGTTCGCCAGACACGCGGTAAAACTTCACCGTTTCAAAGTCTTCCTTTATTTATTGACCAGTATAAGTTGAACTGTCATTGTATAGACTTTTTACTATGACGGATAAAATACATACCGGACCCCTATAGCTTTATCATAACCCTTTGTACATAATTTTTAACTTTATAGCACATGTTACTTAAAATGTTAACTTTGTGCCCTACTTACGAACTACTAAGTAATTCAAATATGATAAGCGTTTGTGCCCCAAATTTATTTAAAAAGGGGTATAAAGGATTTTCTTAAGGAATTAATGTATAGATATTAATATTGTAATTGCATTGTTACACGGTGTTGTAGTCATGTTATAGGGTAATATAGAAGATCGAGTAAATAACGCAAAAACTTAAAAAATCTTTTAGTTCTGATAGTTTTAATAAATTCAAAATAATTATAATATTTAGGACATCTGACACATAACGCCATGTAGTTTCAAACTAAACAGAGCTTGTTCTATGAAAACTAGATTGACTGATAGAATACTTATAAATATATAAGTATGTTTATCAGCAGTCTGGTTACCATAGTACAAGCTCTGCCTAGTTTGGAATCAGACAGCCGTGTGTGTGATGTGTGAGGTTATTATTATTATTATTACTTATATACTTTTTTGTAAAGACATACATATTATATATAGAATTGAATTAGGATTGATGATTATAGAATATCATTAAAAAAATATCAGCGCACTGTTAACCATATATACTGAAGTATTAGTTCAAACAGTATCTGAAATACATTATTAGATTAATACAAACTCTACACTACATATTCTATGCGAATATCCTTCTACGTTCCTCGCTAGAATTATGGTGTTGATTAAAAGCTCACCGCAGATAAACTACGAATATTCGATACAGGGCTGGTCATTTTGTATTTAATACTTTTCTAATGTTTTATTTTTATAGATCTACGTTTAGGAACGGATACTATTGAAAGTGATTAAAGTAGATAGTAATAAGAGAATACTTTCTTATCCGTTTGGATTTCTTGAATTGGAAGTGACTTTCTCTGTCGGTGTAAAGCGCTCATTTTTAGTTAAGAATGTGAATACCACTTTGGACAGTGTTTTTTTCTGAAGACGCAATTGGTATGGTTTACAGATTGTATTAACTATAAGTGTGACTTTAAATGTGGCAACTTTTTTCCTACTCAAGGAATTCTAACGATTCTTTATTACTGTACCTGAGCTTTGAGCCAGACTCCTTTTCATTCCTATGGGATTCTAGTGATCTTCGTCAGAAAGAGAACCAGCAAAAAATAGTTAAAACTCCAGTTAAACTAAAATATGAGGTCTTGCGATTCATAAGTTCCCTGCTGTTGTCGCTCAAAACAACCACAAACATATAAAAATCCTGTTAACCCTTTTCTAGTTTAATACTAAATGAGGACCCTAGAATATAGTTTAGCTAAGATGAAGCATAATAAACCACTATCTGATAACATCATTCATAATATTTTATTCATCTCATAGTCCGCTTCACGTTTCAAGTTCAAGATACGGAACCTTGGCTGGTGGTTAGAAAGTGGTAGCCCTAATTAAACACTATAAAGTATGAAACTTCTCACTCGGCGAGATTTGCATCTAAATGGCAAAGAGTCGGGAGAGCTCTTAATTGAAACTTTGATAAATACAGAGTCTTGCCTCTCGCTTGCACTCGCCTGCCAGTAGCAAAACTTTGGGATTAAAACCAGGATTTCAATTTAACACTATGAACGTTATTCTAAGGTGGATTAAGGTGTATTTATTTTAATCAAGGAGTATTATTTAGCAACGTTAAGAAGGTAAGCCATACTTTTACAAGACTTCAAAAATTAAGGACAATTTGATAACTCGACAGCATTTTATTTAGAGTTTGTTACGAAATATCTTCAGTCATTTTTTGAGTGGTCTCCTGCTCTAGAGATCCTAAATGCTTAGCCAGAGGTCGTGGGTTAGATTTCGCAGGACAAAATATTGTGTGATGAATACGGTGGTTTGTTGTCTGTTTGTAATGTATCAATAATATGAACGTATTTAGAACAGTAGTACAGACTCAGTCGAGTGTTCTATGCCCCAAAATAAATAATTATTAAGAAGCTTGTGATGTTAATCACAAGACAACTCTATGAAATCACTAGTAAATTTTCGAATAGTCTAAAACTTAAAGCTATGAACAAACCAATAATTACACAACTTATTTAAAATAATTCAAAGACAGTATTCACTTCATTATATCTCGACAACCACAAAACAAGCCCTATGAACAACCTATTAATAAGTTTTGACAAGACAGAACCAATTAAACGACTTACAATGGCTTATCCTCGGAAATAATTCACCAAAACAATGGGGTAAAATCGGCTTACATTTTAAAAGGCTTCCAATAATATCAGTGCTGCCACCTTAATATTTCTACTATACTTCGTATGAGACAAGTGACAGATATTTTACGTTACATAATTTTTTGTATTAAAAGTTCTAAATACGGTAAATAAAAAGTTGAATTTTGAACTAACTTTGGAGTAAAAATGATCCGTTGCTACAAACAATAATGATTTTAGTTTTAACATCAAAAGGTTTAAAATAAAAAATATTGGATTTGGGTCGGATTGCGAAGGAATACTTAGGTACCCTCAAAAGATTAACTGTTTATAAACCGATTTATCTTGCTTGGGACGAGCAAAAAAGTGTGATTCATTTAAAAATGTGGTTTTTTTTCTTTTGGTCTCTCTCTTCACTTTATATGTCATTAAATTAAAATATAAGTGCGAAATTGAATGTCATTCATTCATCATTCTATTTTGTTGTCTTGCTTACTAAATTTTCTTACGAACTGAAAGGTAATTTAAAATTAACTACATACTCACTGGAACAGACTGACATGAATATTTAGAATTGGCTTTAAAAAATGACATCCGAGCGTTATAAGATCATCTTTATTACAATTTTCTAATTTTAATTTATCTACTAGTTACTAATACATCAGTAAAATACCATAAATACTAGAGAAACCTTCAAGAGTGGATATAAGAGGTAATCTACTCTTATCCACAGATTATTTCAAATGCAAATTGTATGCCTTCCAAAGTTCGGGAAGGTACGGCAACGTTGGCACTAAGCCCAAGCTCAGTGTTCGTATTTTGGGATCGTGGAATCAACTGAGTGAATAATTCGAACCTCGTTTTAATTATTGAAGGATTTTGGGACGCCACGTGGGAGTTGACGGAGTTACCTGGTGTTATGAGTGAATTCTCGAGAATTTCGAGTAATAATACTCCTGTCATGGGATTAAAATGTGGTATTTTTTGCTGTATGAATGTATGTATGAATATGACATCACACAGGGTATTGTTATGTGATGTCATTAAATAATTATAATAGGTCTTTTTAGGTTATAAAAAGGTTAAGTTGCACGTTATTTGCCTTTTAATAAGAGTCCAAATAATCTAACATCACTAAAACGGTCTATTCGTTCTTGTGTTGTAAAAAAAAATAGTTTAAAACACTAAAAACATTTTTATAGAAAACCAAACAACAAGGGATTTAATAAATTTGAAAAAAAGCGTTGAGTGCTTGTTGTCAATAGTAAAAAGTACACAAAAGTGTAACTAACCCGTTTGTGTTTGATCTCTATGTTAACGCTTCCTCATATAACTAAAATTTTGATAATTAAAGATATTGTGGATAGAAGAAAGAATAGTTACTGCCAAGAGAAGATTATTAGTGATGAATAATCACTGTAACAGACACAATCATTGGTCATTTTATGTAGGTATATGCACCAAAAATACAGGCCAAATGTTACTACCGCTATGTTCCATTTATTGAGTAACAAAAACACAACAATAACTCTGCTAGACACAGGAATCTAATATATTATATTTATATAGTAAAAATAAATTGTAAACTATAGAAACGAATTTTCTTAATGTCATATTTTTTGTTCACAGGTAAATCCTACACAATGTTGGGGCGACCAGATTCCACAACCGCGCTTGGGGCTATTCCCTGCGCCATCACATGGCTGTTCCGTGGCATCGCAGAGCAGCGCCATAAGTGTGGTACCCGCTTCTCAGTGAGAGTATCAGCCGTCGAACTGTGCACTAATACGAACCAGATCAGGGATCTATTGGCGCCTTATCAAAATGGTAAGTTACTACTTAAAACTATTAGAATTACATGCTTATTAACAATATCTTTTTTCATAAACCTTGGGCACCCGACGAGCTAGACGATTAATCAACATGTTTTTTTTTTGTTTTTTCTATTGCGATTCTCTTCGTAAAAGCAAGATTTTTCAGTTCCGTGACTTGTGTGAATCACAGCTAATAAATGTGTTCATCAAGTTCAGTCAGGTTAACAATTTATCCAATGCACTTAAAGTAATTAACTTTGAACAGCCGATTCTAGGTTACGATTGCCACATTATGGTTGTCCACTTTATTTTATATCTGATTATATACAGACTTTATTTTCAAATCTTTCATTTCGACCACAGACACAGAACAGTCACCAGGAGTGTATCTCCGGGACGATCCACTCTTCGGAACACACCTACAGAATCAGTCAGAACTGCGGGTGCACAGTGCTGAAAAAGCAGCATTCTATTTAGATGCTGCTTTAGCAACCAGAGGCACTAGAGAAGAAGGAAAGGACAGTCATCTTCTTTACACACTTCATGTATACCAATACAGCGTGGGAGGCAAAGGCGCAGGTATATTAATATTTACATTTACGTGAAGTGCAAAAGTTACGTGTAAATGGTGGTAGTAGTTTCAAAAAAATAGCCTTAATACTCACAAAAACGAAAATTGCCGAAATAACTTCAATTTGAAATGATAACAGTACCAAGGCTATTTTTTTTCCAGAACCCAGAAAAATTTTGTGATACTTAGACTTTTTAAAACATCTTTTACTTAACTTGACGAAGAGAAAGAAATTCAGTTTTAAATTAATTTTGTTCTAAAATAAATCTGGAACTATAATATATTTAATGGTCAAGAATTTAAAACATTCTGTCTCTTTGTTCACAGTTGCTGGTGGGCGCAGCCGCCTGCACCTAATTGACCTAGGCAACTCTGAGAGGGGAAAAACAAATGGCGGGATACCACTTTCTGGTTTAGGAAACATATTACTTGCAATTTTTAATGGACAAAGACATTTACCATATAGAGACCACAATCTCACTCATGTCTTAAAAGAATGTTTAGGATCTCTAACGTGTCATACTGCGATGATTGTCCACGTATCACCAAACTCACAAAACTATTCAGATACCTTGACAACCTTACAGTTAGCGTCACGAATACATAGGCTTCGGCGGAGGAAGGTGAAATATTCATCGAATAATAATGCTGGTTCTGGAGGTAGCTCTGGGGAAGATGCTTCCAAACCAAGTAGCAGTGAACCAGATCCATCTAGTAGTGACTTATCTGCGGATACAGTAATCTACGTAGGCCCTTTGGATGATGCTACAGATGGAGAGCATCCACCGGTCTATATACCACACATAAATTCTGGTGATAACAGATGTGTTATGAGTAAAGCGTTACGAGGATCAGCAGCAGAACAAAAACATAAGTCCTCTTTATCCAAAGTAGTTGAAGAAAAAAGTCCTGTACACAAACTTTATGCTTCTCCAAAGGCATCACCACTAAAGACGTTACAGCCAAGTCATACCCCAAAATCATCCCCTGTACATTCTGCGACATCAAAGTCCACGCCTATGAAAAAAGTAGGTGGAAAACATATAACAGATGATGTTAAGAGCAACAGTGATGAGCAGTGGATTGACGGTCCAAGAATATCAAAGTCAAAATTAGTTGAAGCTAGACACATAATAAAGGAGACACAAAGTAACAAACGCGAAACTTGGATTGACGGTCCTATGCAAGAAACGAAAGTGCCGTTAAAACATCAAGCGCACCCCCAGTTCGAGTCTGTACCCGTACAACCCAACCCAATACCTCTTCAAATTGGCATTCTAGGCTCTCATGGTAATGAGAGTCTAGGCTACGGATACATGGACAACCACAAGAAAAATATGATCAGAAAGTGGGTTGAAAATCAAACATCACAAATTAACAAATCTCGGCATAGTTCACCAAGTCATAAAACACACAAGGACCCTAACTCAAGAGTTCTCGATGAAACTGAGAGTTCTCATAGAATGGAACCATTAATGAAAGATGCTATAAGACGTTTACATGTAGAAGAATCCACAATAAGGACGGGATTAAAAGCCGGTACGAAAGGAATGGTAATTGAGGAAGAAACCATAGGCCTACCCGACCAGAGTACTTCTCAGAAAAAGTGTTCTAAACAATCAAAAAATGATATAGATGAAGATGATGATAGCGAAGAATTAGCTGAAATACCACCTGCTTTGCCAATAATGCAACCAAGCAGTCTCAGCAGTAGAGAAGTATCTATGGAAAGCTTAGATAGTAAATATAAAGAAAGACTAAGAATGAACGATGAATTGGTTTCAAATCACAGCAGGGATATTGATCCACATGGTATGAGTAGGTGTCCTAATGATGATGAGGATGAAATATTAGAAATAATTGAGATTGAAGAACCTTTAGAGCCAGTTCCAATGCAAGACTGTTGTCTTCAAGTTACAGAGGAAGATATAGCATTTTGTATGGGATTTGACAATTCTCTACCAGAGGGAGACCAAGATGATGATGATCATCCACTGAGAATACTTAGTCAAGAAAATTTGACTGTGGCTTCTACTTTTACCGATACTCTGTCTTTATACAGTGAAGTAGAAAGACAAATTAGGAATGAAGCTTATCTCAGACAAACAATAGGGTTTTACACAGAAACCTACAGTGCTGATCACGGACTTGAATTGAATCCTCATGAAAGCCTACCATCATCGCGTTCAAGAATAGACGATTTGATGGAGTTGACAGAACTGTATGGATCTCGGCGTATGCTTGACAACATTGACGTTGCAATGACAAGAATAGCACCACAATTTCAATCACTTTCTCTTTCAAACGTTCGAGATACTGAAGAATATGGAGGTGATGGCTCTGTTTATAGTGAACCAGCATATAGACCTAGTGATAAAATATGTAATAGTTGCCAGCGAACCATGTCCAGACCAGGCAGTGCAGTGGGAGAGTGTAAAGCATATCAAGATAGGGATACACACACTGACTGTTACGGGCCTTTTGAAAGGTATCGGGGAAATGATATAACGGATGCTCGTATTGCGTCTCTCAGGCATCCAGACGGTGCATCCGATCCTAATTTGAGAGAAGAAAAGAGGATGCCTGGAAACGGAGCTCCGTCATTTAAGGAGCTAAAATCGAATTTACATCTAGAAGTCACGCCTCCTGTGGTTACTACTGAACCACGGACAGAAAAAAATGATAAAGGAATAGCAAGGGTAGTTGCGAGTTCCAAACCTGATGGATACGACAGTGGTCATGAATCCACACCTCGGACGGGTAAACATAGTCCGGCGACAACATCAAGGCGTGCTGAGTCAGGTTATGACTCAGTTCCAAGAGATTCTGATGCGTCGTCGCTCGATTCGTATCCAACACGACGTGCAGCTGTGGCCCGAGCACATGCAAAGAAACACACCACAGCAAAATATAAACAACACAGCGATCGTTCTTTTTGTTCGTGGCTTCGAAACCCATTTACTTGCAAGTACGCGGATACAGATCCAGAAATCAGTGATTTTTAAATCAAAACAATTTAAATGTAACATTCTACATAGGAATATCGTTAAGCTACGTTACCGAATTTAATCTGGAGACTGCTTTTGTACTCTAGTACTCGTATTTATAAAATAAATGCTTCGACACTGTCAGGTTACCACTGTATTTTTCTAGATTTAATAAAAGCTTCCAGCTCCGCTCTTAAATATAATTTAGATAACTGTAACTCTATTGTAAATACAGATGATATGGGAGAATTGCTATAACTTGTTAGAGTTTATCTTCTGCTCATTTTTGTACTTTTATACTGTCATCATGGAAACCACGTGATTCCCAATGTGAAATAATTTCAAACGTTGTAACTTTTGTAAAAAAGTTGTAACAATCTAAAGCAAGATGTCTTCCTCTGTCTTCCCCTGTCTGTGACAATTTCATATCGAGGAAATTATTTTCTATATCTGCACTAGCACTGACTTAAGCGTCGTAATGTTAACATGCGACTTTGTTTCAATCACTTCGTAAATGCTATCCAGAATTCATTCTATCGTTATTTCATATCAGGAACAGTAAAAAATGATAATAAAATTCTTCGTTTTCTCTTGATAAGAGTGATTGGGACAAAGTATTTATCCTATATCAATGTAACTAAAAATCTCGTTTTTAGAAATTAAGACTGTTGTCATGTTTCATTGGCCATGTTTTATATATAGCTTTAACGTTTTGATATATTGTAATGATCAGAGTTGTGTCTAGAGGTGTCCTGGCAAGGACTCCGTCGCAATCATCAGCTTTATCGAATGTTGGTGAATGAGTTATCGCTTTATTGTCAATGTTTTGTTATTATAATATTAATATTACAAATATATATCCTAAATTCTACTATGCGTTCGTATTAGTTTACAATAAATTGTTCGATTTCAAATATTATGGTTTTATTTAAAGAAATTATTATTTCGATACCCGTTAACATAATATTGTTACAACATTAGAAATTGAACTTAAGATTTTAAGAGTTAAGGCTCAAGAGGGTCTCAAGCAAAGTAATACCACGGCTCCACAGGAAGCCGATAATAAGCATTTATTCTTTCGTTGTATTTAAAAAAGTGAGTGAAATTATTGGAGGCCTATCCACCCCACCTCTTTCCCTATTCTGGAAGAGGGTAAACTCTTTGGCTGGCAACGAACTTGTGTCTCTTGAGGTGTAGGTGTATTGGACGGCGGTATTTAGTTATCATCAGCAGTCCTAGCCGTTCGTTTACCCAGCATATCCATATTTATAGATGTTCATCAATCATCAATAGCCTTTAATAGTCTACTGCTGGACATAGGCCTCTCCTTAGAAAGGAAGTTTTGGCCTACTATACCACGCTAGCCAGACGGGTTGGTATAGAGTTTGTGTCAAGTTTACCTTCGTTTTGCAGTGCTGTTGTCCTGCGTAGTTTGCTCCCTTAGTCGGCTCTTACGACACCTATAGGATGAATAGGGGCAGTGACACTTTGATCCTTAATCCGTCACCACACGGAGTAGATGCAGATCTTATTTAAAAGAAAACCCAATACTACTACCTAAAATAAATATTTTGGAATTTGTTTATTCATTAATCTAAGATTGAATTTAGGGCAATTTTACGAAAACGATCTTGTACCCGCTGCTAGTATATCTGTACCTAACAGTGTTAACTATTAGTTATCGACAAAGTGAAGCGTATAAATGAAATAAGTTCATCATTTTACTTCGCCTTGAATGCCTTCGAATGCTTGCCTTGAATGATTCGTTGTGAATGAAAAAAAAATACTTTTATCGTCTAGCAAAACCTTCAAGACTGCAAAATCTGCCCTAATGTGGATTGGCAATTTAAAAAATAATACTAAATAGGTACCTAAGAATATAATATACAATGAACTAGCTTATAAAAAGAAAACCTAAATAGTTACGTTTATTATAAATAACTCAACGTGATTTCATACCAAGAAATAAATAAAGGAATATCCAGTTCAACTGCACCGCTATAATTCTTTATACTGTAGTAAAAAGATTATCTAAAGGGAAACCGGTACTTTTTGGCATTTAGAACAAAAAAACCATGAATAAATAATGTGATAGCAAGCACTCTTGCGCCCCTCGGGTAGGAATTTCAAAATCTTTTGGGGATATAAACTTTTCCCTTCTCAAAAAGTAGAACAACTTTTCCCTGTTAAGATGTAGTCCTATTATCTTTCATTTCTCCAGTAATTTAACATTCTCAGTGCGCCCCGCGAAAATCAAGCTATCAAATAAGCCGTCTACCCTCTTTTGCGGGGTGACAACTTTTTTCTACAAAATCTCCCAATAATTTGTTAAAGTGGCAGCTGGTTAGCCCATAACGCTTATCGGGTTCTAAAAGATTTTAGCGTTTTTACATTGCATAGGGAAAGTTATATTTTGAACGGTGAAGGCAATAAATTCCACTTTTATGTCAATTCCGTTCAAAATTGGCAGCATTGGAAATCGAACTTTTTAATGTCAGGAAATGGGTTTTACGAAAATTGGTAAAGATGAAACTATTGAGATGGAAGAACAAAGAGGGTGCTGATACTGCGAGAGTACATTTAGAAGGCTTTGTTCATAAAATTTATACCTACATTGCACTCATGTTGCACCGATAAGCGGTCAGAAATTGTAAGAACAAAACACTACTATACTAAAACTTTAGTAATAAATTATTGAATTAAACAACCTTTATAACTGGAGACAGAACACTTTGTGACAGAAATGTGTAAATTTGCTGAACTTTGCCTCCTAATCTGGGTCTACTGTTTGCGATAGCCTTAGCTTTATTAACATCATCATCATCATCATCAGTCTATCGCAGTCCACTACATAGCCTTAGCTTATACGAAATGCTATTGATTACTCAAGATCGTGTGGACGTATCAACATCTGATTATGATGATTCCTATAGTTACTACTACCTAAACTTAAAACACACATTTATTAAAACAAAATAGCTTTCTGTACTACATAAAAAACATTTTACTTTCTGTTTGTATATTGTTTCTTTTTTATCGAAGTGAGTCTCGTACAGCTCATCAAAATCGGCTGCAGGAGACTCATACACAATGCAGTGAACCAAAAAAATCTTTATTTTGTAAAAAGTATTTACACATTGTACGACTCAACTATTATTATAAATAATAACACAATACATAATAATGTATTGTATGATTTCCCATATCTATTTTTATAAAAACAATTTTCTCCCATCGCGGAACTGTTAATATGAATAAAAATGTATGGTACCTATTGAAAGTGTTACAAATTGGTTTTTCCAGGGAAACTCGTTGGCACAATGTGTGAAATTATATTTCAAATAATATGAGATGATTTATTTAAACCAAACGTTGTTACCGGGTGTGTATATTTGTTTATAGTACGACAGAAACAAATACATAATGTACCTAGCCGTATAAGTAATTGCGAATTGAAATCATTGTCTTTCGTAAGTTTGTAGATAAGGTAGATATGTAATTTGCTTCTCTTATGTTCCTCAAACAATTCCGATTTCGTGAACTCTTAGTTCGAAGTTCAAGCAGTTCTACTCTGGAATACACCCCTCTTGAAATTAGGATATCCAATAACCGTTCCGTATTTAAAAAGAAGGTACATGACCTCGGTTTTAATAAGATGGCATAATCATCCAATCGATAGGACACCAACCAATTTTCTTACATTCATAATGTACGAATATAATGTAAATATGTTTGTGTATATGTAAATATCTTCTTGTATATGTGTATAGTATTTATAGCATAAATATACATATATATATATAAAGTATGTAGTGTTGTGTAGTATATGTTTTAGTTGATTAATAATGCAACCATTATTCACCACCCAATGAGATGAGAATGCTCTGGGCATTAAGTCCGCCGTTGTACAATAGTGCATAAAGTTGTATAAAAAAATAAAAGATTTTTTTACGTAGGGGCAAACGAGGAGCGGGTCATGTGATGGTAAGTGACCACCGCCGCCTATAGATACCAGCAATTCAGGAGTCATAAGTGTGTTTTGAAGACCGGCAACCTCACCCACTTGGTAAAAGGCAGCGAAAGGGTTGCTTAGCACTGGTTTTCTGTGACGCCGTGGTACCACTCCGGTGGAATCGGCCGTTTTGTGCTCACCCACGGATAAATCAATGAATCACCTTGACTGGCCTGTTGTTCTATTGGTTGGTGTCCCTGACCGCTAAGCCTGTTACCATAGTAAGGGCTCTGCCAAGTTTGGGATCAGACTACCGTGTGTGAGATGAGTAAAGTTATTTAAAAAAAAAAACAAATAGACGAGTAACATAAAATACTATTACTCTAGCATTTATTAGATGTACTAAATGAACGTAAATAACTGTTAAAAAGTATACCCGAGTTCAATGTTCCAACATAATGATGAACTGAAATAAACTGTGCTTTTTAATTTTCTACCCTCAAGGGCAGCTCAGAATCGTATTCCGAATTAATCTTCATCGATGAACTAATAGTAGCTATCTCTGGTAGTATAGAACGAAGGATGTTATAGTGGAACCTACAACCATTGTTTCATTCAAGCGGTCATTAAGGAAGGGTATTTTCGGCGAACAGTACCTACATTGGTTAGTTGTAGAACTGACTTCTTACGAATTGTATTTTCGGCGAAGCGTTCATCGATGAATTTTAATTCGGAATATGATTCTGAAATCTCTCAGGGGTGGTATTTTTCTTGAATTTTAAAGAGACCAAACAGGAAATATACCTCTCAAATAAAAAGTAATTCTACAAATAGGTACATAGATGACGTTTGAGACGGAAAAAATTAAGTACTGACCTCCTCCTGTTTACTCGTCTTCCACAACCAAAACACCAGTTTTCCTTAACGAAAGGCACATCTGATTTTTTAATATAGCCCACACTGTCACATAATACAATACCAATAAGTACAAATACGGATAAAAATAATAGCAGCGTACACACGCGCCGACCGGCCGAGCGAACTAGCACGTGAGCTGAACACGAAT